GCGCCGCCGATTTGATTGCTGCCGCCTTTGTGACAACAATGTTAAACGTTTCAAGTGCTCGGACCCATGCACCTTTCTGTTCTTTCACCTTCCTTCCCAACGTGATTTGCGTTAACTGAAAACCCAAGTTCGAAGTGTGTGTGCGTGTAAACCAACAGCTGATTGGGAATGGACAAACACACACTGACTGACCCAAACCATCCAAAACCATATATGGGCAACAGGGACCCACCTGCAGCGGTTTGCAACAAAGAAAAAGCTTCCCTGTAGGGGCAGGGAGCTGATCATTCATAAGGCACCCTTACAACCGAGTCCAGCATCCAGCTCAAAAATAGACGAAAGGCTTCACTTGATTTCACATGACTCGAAACCAGTTCCAAACCCACTCCCAAACACACCGAACACCTCAGGAGAACGTGGAGCCCCAGGGTGAGATAGACTTTGGATCAATGGTCCGAACAGTTCCGATTTCGGACCGTCGATTCAAGGGATTGGTTCAAGGGAAACTCTGCAGGAAAGCATGGTTTTCAGACCCAACACATCCCAAAACTATGGGTTTCCTGCGGACTTTTCCCTCAAAACTACAGTAACCAATTCTGGCATCGATTCGACTTCAACGCCACCGGATGACCACCAACTTTGCCTTCGCATTTGAATCGATGGGAGCCAAGAGACCCGGGCCATAAATCTCGTCAAGATATGCGGCCTGCGCAAAGGCCGGTTTGGGCCGGCTTGGGCTCACAACATAGATGGCCCAAATAGTCTGATGTACAATGACGATGCCCCTTGTCTGGTGGTACGGCCTGGCAGGATTTCAAACAACAACGGCTATGAAATACTGTGGGCATCATTATTCTCTATAAAATGAACAACAGTCCTTTCCATAAAATGCATAGCCCTATCCAGGCCTGTCAAAGCAACAAAGCTACAGATCACGGCTTGGATCTATATAATGCTTTGCCTTGAACTGATACGAGAACTTCCAACAAACTGAGTTGGCCACAGAATATTGAGACATATTGAGACAATAGGCGCAGTGATCCAGCACAAAATGCTGAAATGGAAAAAACATGCATCAACGGATACGGGCGGCTCTTTTTGTGAGTTTGTTTGATGTGCTTGAACATGTTTGAAGACATTGGTAAAAACGCTGTGTTTTCTATAAAAAGGCTTTGCTGTAGAATTGTAGACGTATAGACATTCATCTGTCACCAAATGTATCTCACTTTGGCATGGTCATAGCAGCAATACTCTTTTCCCAAGTTGATGTTTCTATGAAATGATGTTGTGTAGATTTATGTTCTAATTTCCAAACTAACCTTTTTATGACATGTACTGTCCCTGAACCATTTCATAGTGGAAACACATACTCATTTCATAGAAAATCAATCACGGGGATCAATGACGTACATCACCAAGAAACAGCCACAAAAAGACTCACACCAGGTTTTTGGGGTGGGAGTTTGGGATCCACCATTCAAAAACCTTGGCTTCAGCGCTAGAAGAGGTTTTTCATCGACAAGCTTGAGTCTTCCTGCGAACAGTCCGTTCTTGGAGGGACCGAAAGCAACCTTAAGACAGGCAGTCTAATGTGCCAAGTCCAGAAATCGACTCCGTTCCAACCAACAATCAAGCTACTAGGAACAAGTGCATCACTTCTAGTAACAGGTGCCTTACTAGTAGTAACAAGAAGCTATTAGAAACAGGTGCATCGCTAGTAGTAATTAACAAGTAGCAACGGTTCGGCCCTGTGAACCAGTTCCAGCCCCCTGGTTCATCACGGAAAGGACGTGAAGCAATGGTTCGCACCATGAATCCATCTCTGAACCCTAAACCCTAAACCCAGGTCTCCCCGTCCTTGCTGAAGGTGCTGTACTTAATCCCCAAGTGCAAGGGTGGCCTTGGTCGATTGGGGGGTTGAGCTAGGTGCGGCGGAGGCTACCAGAAGAACGAAGACTTTTCCCAAAACAACCCGAAGGATTTACGTACCTTCTGATGCATCTTAAGGCCTTAGTTGTACCCCGATCGCGCCCTAGGGACACATGGATGGCGTGGCCGGCGACCCCCTTTCAAAACGACCCATGCCCATTCCACTTCCATGCGTGTGTCTTCTAGTGTAGCGTGCTGATAATCAGGCTCCAAGAACATCCTACTATGTGTAATACTTGCCCTTCAAGCATTTAGATGATAGGACATGTCCGCATGTCTGTCCTAGACAATCTGGAATCAGTGGGTTTAACTATTTGATGCAATGGCGTGCATACTGGGTTTGTCATGGTTTGTCTAGACCAAACTTAACTGTGCAACTACGAAGAGATCAGGGGGTGTGTAAAGATCCATTGCGATGGCAAGCATATTGACCCTTTTGAAAAAAAAAAAAAAACACAAGGACTCGGGATGAATGGACGCATTATGCCTGGATGCGCTGTCCCCTTCTGGATCCTGTCTGACGCCGTGTCCAATCGTTCATAACAAATCGGAGATCCATCCAACGACCAATGCCGCCCTGAACAATGCAATTTGATACAGGTGACAACTATGGTTGAAGTTGATGAGCGTCTGTCTATTTGTGATTGATTTGTGGTTGATGACTCTCTGTTTTGTTGTTGTCTTTGCAACTGGCGATTTCAATATGAGCTAACATACAGTATACAGTATAAGGCGTTACCTTTTGGAAGACTCACCAATACCCCGATATCCAGCAAAGGAGCAGGACCACCTGTTCAAGTGTTCCAAATCAGCCTTGCGATAAAGTGTTCCGTTCTTTGGAGCAACATGGACATCTGTATTTGAGACCTTCTGTGTTGGGATGCAAATCAATGGTCTGCCCTCAGGATGCTACACTCCCTCCAAGTCCCCCTGCACAGCGCCCAGCGAACAAGCGGTCGCCACGATGAGCCTTTGAGCCAGCACGGGTGGCACGTGGACGGGCCAACCGTTTTTGGACGGGTGGGCTTCGCTCGTTGGGTGGATGGATTCCGGGTGGATGTTTCAGCGGTGTGTCATTCACACCTGCTGCTGTAATCTCTGTGGCACTGGGAAAAAAAACAAGAAACAAAAGCAGCGAGGGAGGGAAGGAAGGGAACGTCGAAGAAACTTGCTGGGCTGTAACCGAGGCCTCGTTGATGACCCCTGCCACAACCAAATCATTCCCTTACCCAGGGAAATGGTCCGTGGCCTGGCCAAAAGGAAGACCAGGTTCATCAGGGGAGGGTTTCTTTACATGGCAGCTCAGGCAGGAAGAGCTCTCGATTGAAAAAACGGATTTGACTTTAGCACTGTAGAGTAGAGGGTCCAGCGGCTAAGCCGCTGTCCGTGTCAGCAGCAAAAACTGAGAGTTGTGACTCGCTGTCAGGGCATCGGTCCACATGGTGTACGAACAGGATTGGGCCAAGAACTACAAGTGTAGCATTTGCCTTCAACGGCAATTGCTAGTAACTAGTAGGTTGGAGGCCATCGCTAGTAGGTTGGAGGCCATCGCTGCTAGAAACAAAGTAGAGAGAAAAGGAAGAAAGGTCTACTATAGGTAAAATATGGTAAAATATATGCAATTTGTTTTTGTTCCGTAAACTCGAGCTGTTGTGTTTGTCAACGAGCACGAACTGTGCACTTCAACGGTTCCATTGCCAGTCGTCATGGCTTCTGCAAGGGCCTCCTTAGAGAAAGGGTTGAAGTCTTCTTTTCTGGCACTCTATCTAGTATATCTTCTGACCTCCCTTTCTGGCAAATCTTCTGGCATTCTATTTTCCATATCTTCTGGCATTCTATCGTATTTAACTAGCATATCTTCTGGAATCCCTTCCGGCCAGCTATCTGGCATGATATCTTCTGGCATTCTATCTGGCATATCTTCTGACACTCTAACTGGCGTATTTGCTAACATCCAGCTGGCATATCGTCTGGCGTTCTCGATGGTGTGCGGTTCGGAGCGCTGCAGATCTCTATGACTCTATGGTGTGCAGGTCCGTGCATGCCCAGACTGAGCTGGCACTCGCTGTGACATGAGAACATGGCCAAAGGAGAACGAGAAGAAGATAAGAAGGAGGGGAGACTGAGTAACAGTAGCACCTTGGTCTAAATCCATGACAGGTCAGGTGAGAGACATGACGTTTTGATGGGCACGGGCCAGCAGAATTTTGTTCGGCCCTTCCCAACTCATAATGTTGGGTCACAGCTGGCTAAGAGGAGGCACATTGTATGTCATGAGTCATGCTGACATCTTGGACGTCTTGGGTCAACCTGGTAGAAGAATCATGTTGACGCCCTCTCACCAACTGAAGAAAGGCCCGCATGCGTGCCAAATCATCCAAGCTTCCAACCATTGCTGCATTCAACGCCAGAGCTTGGTTCCCCAAAATCGTTCCGACTCACGTGGGAAAGCAGGGTGTACTTGCAGCCGCACCATGGAGAAGCACGCGGTGGCGGCCCCAAGCAATGGACTGAGTAGGTTCGGCACATCCAATACTTGAGTTCTCACGCTTCAAAAAACCGACACATTGGGAATGCCCTGGCAAAGGGCAAGGAGGCGCCGGTGCCGAACTCTCCGTTCTCCATTGCGGGTGCACAGGTTGCTTGGACCATCTATCCAGCAGGTACACGTCTGGCAGGTCGATCATGAGCCTCGAGAAGTCTGCGCCTGGTGTGCCTTCGGCGCCTCCGGCTAGTCGCTGAATGACCTGTGAAACAAAACATTACGATCTCCTTCAGAACGTCATGAAGGACGGTGACCAAAAACCATGTGCGATCTGCTAGGAGCAGTTCATTCGCAGCACCTAGCTGTTGCGCCTGCAAATCGACCATGAAAGGCGACACACATTTAGTGCAGTTCGGGTCCAAGCACTGGTCCAAGCGTCTCTTCTGCTTCTTCGAAAGAGGGGGAAAAGATGTGTGGGACAACGCCAGGTCTTGACACACGCGATGAGGAGGCTGGGGGCGGATCAGGGTCCGCAGGACATGGGGGCCTTTGTTCTATGAAACCCCCAAAATGAGAAGACTGGTTGACTGGCTCCTTTGGGGTCGGCAACCAAGTTCATCGCAAACGTTTGACCCAAACTGCTCGGTGACTCAAGGAGGCCAGCGGATGCCAGCGGTATAGGCGGTAAGACGTCACTGGTCACGCTGTCACACGTGTGCGGCAGATAGTCCGTGTGAATAGCTACTCCAGGACTAACTCCCTACTGAATACTGAATACTACTCACACGAATACTGAAAGTTTTTAGTATTCAGTGTTAGTATCACCTGACTACCTCGAAGCGACAGGGGTGTTGTGGGTGATGGAATCTTCCGAACAATTGACAGCAGCTACTGCCAACTCAAAACCTGAGAAGCTGCAAAACGAAAGCCAGCGCTTCCCTTTCTCGACAACTGCGCGTCGAAGCAATCAAATGAGCTCGCGCAGCCGCTTGCGGCCGCGTGTCAAATCTGCTTCATGTCTTGTTCTGCCCACACATAGGTAACCATGCAAAAGCAAAAAAATGCACTCTTGCATCACCACCCGCTCCAAAATCACTAAAGCATCACCTCCAAGAGTTTACGTATACCTTTCTCGGGCCACCCCCCCCGACAATTCCCATCCACATTCAGATGAAGCAAAAGCTAAACAATGCACCAAAATTCGAGGTGGCCTGGGACCAGAGGCTCGCTGCCCGAAACTATATGTTCAGGCCACCTCAAAAATGAAGAT